CCATTGAGATGTTGGACTATAAATAAGTAATGAATGAAGACATAACTTGAAAACCGAGACATCTTGAAGAGATGCTCGAAACAGTTATTTATGGTTTGTTGGTATTAATAAACTTTCGTTCCCGTAGGTAGACTGCTTTTCTGTATTATTTCTTATTCATTGATAATTCGGTAAAGATAAATAAAGTAAGTTTTTAGTGTATAATTTTTCCAGGAGATGTATTTTATATTCGCGTTCAAATATTGGATTACTCTTTGAAAAAATAACGATCTAATATTTTATACTAGCTTTCCGCCCGCGGCTTCACCCGCGTGGAATTTTGTATGTCACAGAAAAACATTATGGCGCGCGTCCCTGTTTAAAAAACCGGGACAAAAACTATCTCTGTCCCAAATTTCATCAAAATCGGTTGATTTTTTGTTTGTTTCTTGTAATAATATTGTACTTCAATACTTTAGGGCTTTATTTTTATGAAATATATTTTCTTATGTATCAAAAATAAAAACAATTTTTTTACGGAAAAAATGTGACGTCCTTTATCTCTCATTTTAACGTTAACACGTGGTGTGAATGTGAGGCCTCACACGCGGAGCCGGCTGTAAAGTTTATAGTATAAACAAAAGTTTTATTAGCTAAGTTTTAAAGTTTTATGGTTCTATACTAATTAATACGGCACTTACCATAAAATCCCAGCGATTGTTATGAAAAAGCTTTAGTAAGCTATAAAAATTGCTCCACAGCGTTTTTAAGCACTTATCTTGGTAATAGTGAAGCTTAGGAGATTTTTATTGCTATAGATTATATCAGATAAACATAGTGAGGATCAAATAGTTAATAGTTAGTGCAAGTGTTTGCATTTATGTTTTGCAATTATAGGTCGCTCGACGAAAGTTTAGGCAAATTTATGTACATACACACACTGATGTAATTTATTGCACTGAACACAAACAATACATTACACATTAAATAAGTTGTTCAGTTAAATATCTGCAAGTGAGACAGAAAGCACTTGTCAGCCTGACTACGCAGACAGCGTATACAGATATAAATCTTTGCTTGTGTTGATGGCCTCAAGTCTCGTTGCGTGACCTATACCTACTAAAACTGACGAAGGTTGAAATTGTCAAATACAAAAATGTTTTATAACCCTTAAAGTTTATGAAATATTCACCCGCATCTAAACATAGGCAGAGATCAAACCGATGCAATTTGATCCAAAACAGTAGATATGGAAATAATTTCCCAATAATGGAAATTTTGCAGTTCCAACAAATGGAATCCAGAAACGTCTATTGCGGTCTTTGTGGTTAGGATTAGTGGTTACTGACGTTTATAATTGATAAATCGACCACCGAGTCCCGATAGGCGCAATGTATCAATATGCCTATTTTTTCTAGAACTTAATTAGTCTCTTGGGGTATAAAACGGCGATCGTTCATTTTTAAGTCGAGAAAAAGCGAGAAGTTCACGTGTGGAGACTTGGAAGTAATCGATTATGTTTTGTTTTGTTCTGTTCTATCGTTATTCTTTTGTTTAGTTTGTAATAGGTAAAATAACATTTTGCTCGTCTTGGCGGGAAAGTTAAACAAAATATGCGGGAGATTTGTTTTTCTTAAAATTGGGTTTATTTAGCCGACTATGTTAATCTACACTAGTATTATGAATTTTAAAGAAGAATGATTTGATTGTTTTTGTAATGAATAGGCTCCAAAACTGCTGGACAGAATTGAAAAATTCTTTCAGCATTAGAATCCATTATTTCTAATGAACATAGGCGGTACTAAGTTCGCTGTGTCAACTAGTCATAATAATAAAATACGTTGAGGTAGGTAAGCATTTTAATATCATTATTTAATTGAAACTGGATATGTGCAAATCCCAAGTAGTCTTGTAAATGATTTTTTCCCATAACGTATGTAAACAAAATCTTTCAAATTAGATATTCGTTTCTTTGGTAAACATTTCACAAGAAAAAATAACAGGAAAAACACGGTACAAAGATCAATACATTATTATTCCCGCAAATATTGAGCAAGGTCAATGCTTTCCACTCACTGTCATCGGTGACGTTAACGTGTGACGTCACTTGACATAATGTGTCAACAACACGTTTTGTTTGACCTATTCTTGGGTGTTATCATGGCGTAATGTACACAAAGGGGCGTCGTGAAAGGGTTATGTTATGATAGTGTCAAATAAAAGTCGGAAAGACTCACTAACTCTTCGTTATCCTACTTAATATTATAAATGCGAAAGTTTGGATGTCTGGATGTCTAGATGTTTGTTACTCTTTCACGCAAAAATTATTGAACGGATTTTGATGAAACTTTACAGTATTATTGTTTATAACCCAGATTATCATATAGGCTATAATTTATGACGATTTGTGACAAACTAAATTTCACGCGGGTGAAGCCGCAGGAAAAAGCTAGTTACATATCCTCCTGAGACCCAGACCCCTAAAAATTGTCGGATTGTCTTGAATTTTGGAAGGCAGGCTAAGATTCATATGTACAACTAACAAAAAATGCGAAAAAAAATCTAGCCCCCCTACATACGCCAAAATGGGGGGTGTCACCAGTGACACTACGGGTTTCAAAGACATTAAAACGGGCTTGAATTAATTAATATTTTAATTACTTCAGGTATGGTAAAATAGGTGTTTTTAGTTTCAAATTAATCTGCAATTGTTTAGAATCGTATAAGATTTACTTTTTAACAGCTTTTATTGAACTTGTTATAACAAACTTTAATTTAACTTGCAATAAATGTGTGAATGTATGTTTGAGTAAAATCTTGGAAGCTGAATTAGAGCTACTTCCTGCCAACCGATTGAGCTAAAATTTTGCATAGACATGTAACTCAGATGAGACTTTAATATAATGAGGTCATGGAGCTGATCTGATGATGGAGACGGAAAGTAGCCATAGAAACTCTGTGACTAAACGATGTAACTCTGTCGAGTTTTGACTCATTTGATTGGTATTGACAAGTACTCTGGTCTTGGATGATATCCAGGGTCTGATCTGAGGATGGAGCATAGTAAACACTCTAATAATAATGTCATTATTTTACTATTTTACGTAACATGTCAAGCGCCCATTGTACTAAAGTTAGTACAGCATCACTTTGGGAGTTATAGCATAAAAAACTTTCCATGAAATGAACATTTTTATGTATTTTTTATTAGGATATGTTGTTAGCTAATACACTAACAACTTATTCGGTATTTTGTGTAACTTAAACCTTGTATAAAAAATTGTCAACTATCCACTAGGAGATACGAAAAAATCACTGAAACGTAATCGTAAAATACCCCCTTATGATTTTATAATTATGTTCTGTTTCATCTTAGGATGTAATGCATAGACCTTCGTTTACCGATTGGAATTATTTCCAGAGTTAAAATACCCTCTAAATCAGATTTATCGTAACTTAAAGTTGTGTACAAATTATTGTACGGCGGGCGTTAATGGGTTAATTTTCATAAATACCAATAAATGGCGCTGTAAAAAAAATATATACTCAAGTGTCACGAGTGACACCGGGGGTCTCAGGAGGATATTAATAAGATAGTTGTTGGAATTCACGAAGGCGAGTGAGCTTTACATGTGTGGTGGCTCGCTACTGTTCGTTTTACAAAAGTTTTGACAGTATCTATCGTTGTGTGCATGTACACGTACGTACACACAAAAGTAAAGATCACTCGCCTTCGTGAGTTGCAAGAACTGTACTGTTAGGCCCAGAACAGACGGTGAAACGCAACTGCAATGAAACTGCAACTTTCTGATGATTCTGATGAATGAAACTGAAACTGAATGTTTCAAACTGGTCGCGTTATGTGTGGTCTCTCAACGGACGCTATGGCAGAAACTTAGATGCAACTCAAAAGTAACTAGCAGTTACAGTTGCGTTTCACCGTCTGTTCTGGGCCTTATAAAACGTTTATAACCTTTGATTGACTTTTAGCTGTAAAAGGGTACTGAAAAGTCCAATAGTTCCAAAAGTATGAAATTAGATTTTGTGTTAAATTGTTCTAGAGTCAGGTTTTGAATTCAAAAAGTTTTTGAGCTCATATTAAAATGATAATAAATGGTTGAAAGGTTGCTCAGAATTTAAATAAGTTTGAGACGCTGTAAAGTTTTCACCACACGTTTCTAGTTGAAATTGATTCACTTTATTGCGTTTTTTCTTGGAAAATTGCAGAGCGATAAGTGGCCTCTATTAAGGCTGAGTTGCACTACCTAACTTTGACAGTAACTATGACGATAACCGGTGCTTTTTGTATGGAGTTTGACAGATTTTTGACGTTTGTCAAAGTTAAAGTAAGAGGGTGCAACCCAGCCTTAATCTTAATTTAGAAATCTCTGCACTATTTTTTTACTTATGATTTTTGTTGATATTTCTTCCTTTGTCAACGGTCTAATGCATTGCTATAACCAGATCTGATTCGGATAAACTATTACACCATGTCTTCTGTGAGACAGATTGATTCAAAACCTTGTCTGATACTATGTCGCAAAATGTAGATTTATAGGTTTAGCGCTTAGCTCAGTCCTGAGTTAAGGGAGCGGGCACGGGAGGTTGTTTTTGAGACGTCAAACGTCAGTGAGACTTCAGATTATGCTTCAGATTTGTATGCTCTGTCGCGTCATAATGTCAATGTCACCCCTCCCATGCTGCTCCCATACCTCTGGCACTGACTGAGTTATGCACTAAAACTATAAAAGGTGTTGTTTAAGTGAAATAGTACTCCTCGATTGGGAGCGACCGACAGTGCCGAAGCCCACACTCGGCCTCGTCGGCACGCGCACCGACGATCGCCAAACGGCCAGAGTACCTTCTGTACTAGCCACTCTGCCCGGTGAAGCTGGAAAAGTTCCTCAAGCTACAAACGCGCGTCCCTTCAAAAAAAAAATAGTACTCCTCATTAGATGTTACTTATACAGTCCTAGAATATGGTTTAGTCTTCTCATATCCACATTTTGTTTCTCCCACAGAACTCCTTCTCGGCACCCTCCGCACCCACCAAAAGGCTGCCTGCGACGAGGAGATGGTGACCCTCATCTGCCCTAGAGGGACCACCATCAGCATCCAAGTGGCGCAGTACGGCGCGTCGGCGTCCCAGAGTTCCTGTGCATCAGAGCTGGCTGAGTACCAGCCGGTGGCCGTCGAAGTGGTGGGAGACACGTCCTGTGCATGGCCTAGTGCTTTACAGGTTAGTTTGTTTCTTATGCCCGTATTCACTCCATTCTCTGATGAATGATTCTCCATGATCTGGTTAAGGTCGCGGGAGGCGCCTGGATGCGAGCGGCGCAGGACCGGACTTTGAGAAATCCTTGGGGGAGGCCTTTGTTCAGCAGTGGACGTCTTTCAGCTGAAACGAACGAACGAACGATTCACTCCATTACTATGAGGTCTCACAGGGTTACACACGAGCCGATTACAGAGCTCTATTCAACTCTGTACGTTCAATTTGCTGCTTCATTTAAGCAAGCATCGTTTGTGAATACGGGCGTTAAATTAGAGTCCAAGTCAAGATTTGATAATTATTAGGATATTGTCACCATTGCGGGAGAAGGACCTTATAGCAGAGGCAAATAGAGGATAGAGTCTACATTGCCAACTGGTTTAGGGAGATCTTTAGATGGTTATTTATAAAGTGTGTCACTGCCCGCAGCGCTAGACAAATATTTAGCATATTTTTACTTGAAGAACCGTTTGAGATACTATTTTCGCTTTCCTAAAAATGTTATACTTTCATATTCCAAAGCCAAAATATAGGCGTACGTATTAGACGTAAATACATTCGGCATCAAATAAATCGCACCTCCCGCGACAAGCACTTATCAAACGTATGCATCCCCACTTCCCACCAACATTGGTACCATTTTAAAGCCTAGTTCTAAACTTCATTTCATTAAAGGAAAGGTTTTTACCCCAAAAATGTGTCTTCAGAAGGATCCAGAGTCACTTCTTAAAAAAATAGGTATTTACGCTCGGGCCAACTTTTATGGCTATAAAACTGTTAAATTGGAATTAATTGCTATCCATCTGTTAAAAAGGACACGTAAGATCATTATTTGGTTTTATAACCACAAAAATTGGTCTACTTGGGCCCATAGGTGAGCTCAAAGTGAGGCCTTTTTTCAAGTCACATTTATGGTACATGTTAATTGTTTATAAAAAAATTAAATGTGTTTTTCTTTAACTTTATTTATTGGGCTTTCAAATAACACCAATATTGTTGGGGCACCATGATTGTGTCAGAAGAAAATCTTTAAAGTTCGCGTCGCGGAAGGTGCGATTTATTTGATGTTGAGTGTAGTACGAAAGTATGTAGTAGATATGGAAGAAAACATTATTGCGGAGCCCTCTTCATCTTTGAAGTTGGGTTGACAGTTTGGCACCATAGGTTTTACGTAGTCATATCAAAGCTCTACAATATTGTTTAATTCATGCTTGGAAAAACAGAGCAGATTAGCAGGCATTTATAATCCGATTAAATAAGTACAGTTTCCCGAAAATGTATAAAACAATATTATTATGTAAATTCAGATAATATGAGTATTTAACGAAAGAAATGTAAACAAAAACATATAAAACACATTTGTGTTCACATTAAACGCAATAGATGCAATATTTTACAAAGTTATTGTGGTGGAGATATGATATAGGGTGGCAACAAATACTTTAAGCATACGCTACTCCAGATGAAAGCGATGGCGCAAGAACAGAGCAGTTATTTACTTAAATTAAGCAAATAACAATTGAATGTCGAGAAATTAAGATTAGTATTTCATTTCAAGGCAGTATAAAAGGGATTTATTGATTCTAAAACTTAGTTAATGAAGACTGCGTTCTATGGCTATAGCTTAATATTTTTGCTTGATGCTATTCCTACAATTTTATAATTATAGGTAGGTAAAGCCAAAATCGCCTCAAGCTACATACTATGCGATCTTATGTAGTTAAAATAGGGACGATTTTGCAACAAAAATGTACAGCTTGATGTGCTGTCGTCTGTACTCAATCCAGCTTTTGGTGGTTTGGAAACTGCTCATATAAAAAGAGTCAATTTGATATCCACCCTGTATAACATACCTGGTGAAATATATCAAACGCAAATTGCTCACATAAAAACGAAATTGTTAAGGCAAAGGGAGCATTTAAGAATAAAAGAAGGCTTTAACTAAAATATGGAGATACAAACGTACGGGTGATATTTTATGAAAGAAAAATTACGTCCAGAAGTTCTCAGGAGGTCTCTCATTTGAGATACAGCTCGGGCAGTTACAGAAAGTTGTCTGGAGTTGGCGAAATTAATTATTCTGAGGTACAATCGTACAATACAGGGTGAATGTGATAGAGAATGGCTTTAATTAGAGACTGAAGTTACTTTACTTAGACTTTATTCGTACCTTAATGTTACGTATTTGATCGTATAAGGTTTGAGTTTTCTATTTTTATTATCTGGGGGCACGGCAGTGCCCCCACCAAGTCGAGCAAAAAAGCGGCACGGCCGTACCATCCTTTTCTCGAAGCAATTCAGGCCATTTTCGACTGCCTGTAACTTCGTTGTGGATAAAACTAGAAGGCTGAATTTTCATTAGCTATGCAGGCATTGTAAAGACACGGTATATTTAAAATTTCATTCAATTTGAACCAGTACTTTAAGAATTATAACGGGTCAAAGTTACTTAATTTTGTCACTCACTGACTCACTGACTCACTGACTCACCGATCATCAAAACTCTAAGGCACTTCTAGATGACCTAGAAGCTTCAAATTTGGAATATAAGTAGTGTTTGGTGTATGAATCAAGGAAAAACTAAAATATTTGGGGGCACGGTAGTGCAACCGCCAAGTCGAGTAAAATTTTTCAATTTCGGTCCAGTTTTCTAGATACATAACTGCTGTCTACAAAATACAAAAAGAAATGAGATTTGGGGGCACGGTAGTGCAACCGCCAAGTCGAGTAAAATTTTTCAATTTCGGTCCAGTTTTCTAGATACATAACTGCTGTCTACAAAATACAAAAAGAAATGAGATTTGGGGGCACGGTAGTGCAACCGCCAAGTCGAGTAAAATTTTTCAATTTCGGTCCAGTTTTCTAGATACATAACTGCTGTCTACAAAATACAAAAAGAAATGAGATCCCATCAAAAACAATACTTGTCAAAAAAACCAAGTCTCGCAACTCAGTTGTTCTACGGTAAAAAGTTGTGAGATCCATGTAATACCAAGTCCAGGCCAGGAAATCTTTAACGTTTTACATAAATATATTGACTTGGCCATCGCATGAAAACACGTGTAAATTAAAATATTTAGTGCGATGGCCAAGTCAATAATTTATGTAAAACGTTAAAGATTTCCTGGCCTGGACTTGGTATTACATGGATCTCACAACTTTTTACCGTAGAACAACTGAGTTGCGAGACTTGGTTTTTTTGACAAGTATTGTTTTTGATGGGATAAGTTTTGCGGTAACAATTTATAAGTAGTAGTAGTAGTTAAACTGTACCTTTTTATCTTAAAAAAAACAAAGTTATAAATTCCTTCATTATCTTCTGGTAAATATAGGAACATCATACCTCTTGTACTAGAGACTAACGCTCGTATTCACAAACATGACTATGAGGTCTCACAGTGCTCGTGGACGCACAGGGTGAAACACAAACCAATCACAGAGCTCTATTCAATGCTGTGCGTTCGATTTGCTGCTTCACTTAAGCAAGTATTGTTTGTGAATAAGACCTGATGTTGACAAGTTTACTAATGGAAGGTAATTGGCCCTCCATTGCGTCACGGATGCCTGTTTTCATCATTAATCCCTAATTTTTAAGTGACCCCTATGAAAACAAAATCCTTCTTATGTGTTACCATAAGGCTCACTTAAAAATTAGGAATTGATGGTGAAAACGGGCAGGAGTAAAATAAAGCATTCTTACAACCTGTTTTATGTACTTTTTAATTCCCTCTACACGTAGCTCGGAGCTTACCAGTCAACTCATACGGCTTTCTGGAGATATAAGAGGGTTTTTGTCCTATTTCGCAAGATTACAAGCGAAATATGGTGCCTTATGATCGTAGTAACGTCAGCAAGACAAGTTTATGTTTTGGACAGGGTCGTGTGTGGTGTTGCCAACTTTATTATGATAATTATAATGTCTTTTAAACCTTAGTAACAGATAAGAAAGAGTACATGAAAAATACGGACCTGGAAAAATGTATAAAGGGCTTTTGCTATACTATACTCTTATTGCTTCTTTATTAAGATCTCAATAATAAAATAAGTGAATTTGCAAAGCAGAAATTTTTGTAAAAAATAAACCTTATCCTCTACTTTTTTCGACTATATAATATTTTAAACTATTATGTTGCATTTTTTACTATAAAATTATCACTTCACGGGATTTATTGCAACAATATCTATTTTAACGGTAAATAATACACCATGACTCGTGCAACCGAGCCGAAACGTCGGGAGGGTAAATATTATTTACCGTTAAAATAGATATTGTTGCAATAAATCTCGTGAAGTGATAATTTTTTCGACTAATTCCATCACTGATAGTATTTGCCTATTTATAAGTAAAAGGCATTGTATTCATAAAAATGAAAAACTGGCAATCTCTCTATAGTACTTATGTAATTTTAATTTCAAAATCTAAAAACCAGCAAAGTTAGTAAAATGAAAAAAAGGAAGATGTGTACGCCTGTTTATTATTTTGCACGACAGCCTGACGCTATCCCGAAATATTGCAACAAATCAAATTTTCGCCGCGCGGAGCTGTGTTTGAAATTCGTTCTATAAAAGCTCAGCAAATCTTGGTCCAATCTAATAACGCATTCTTGACAAAACGCCGTATTGACGCTTACATAATAAAACCATGCCCCACAAACATGCAATCTGTAAACTCATTCTTCATGTTTACGAAGATTAGAGGGGTGACATAAAGATCGACAGCCAGCTATAAAACTGGCTTGTTGCCTAAACATATCAGAAAATGAGTCGTGAGCAGTGTTGCTGGTACAGCAGGAAATGGGACAAAAAGTGCTGCGTTATGTCGCTGTTAATACGGCAAAAAATAAAGTGCGCGATTAGGGAAACGTCGACTGTTTGTCTACGCCTAATTGAGTGTTAATCTAAGATTAGGGGACAATAACACAGTGGTCTAAGCCGATTCGATAGGACCTTTTATCCCTAGACTATAGTGGCTAACTCCTAACACATGCCGAATAAAGCAGTCATAAACAGATTTTTATACCAAAAAGAAAACTGCAGGCATGTGTTAAATAGTATAAAGTATACAATGAGCATAAATAAATAATAAAATAAGGCAAATTAATCTGGATTTCCTATGAATTAAACTCTATTTGATATCAAAACGAAATTTTGTCGAGATCCCAAAGCAATCCATGACCGTTTTAGTCAAATTAAATGACTTTCATTATCAACAACATTTCCAAGTATTATTGGCGAAGACTGTACACAGTCCTGATTACTTGCAATCAGATTCCACAGACGAGAAAATGAAGAATATTATTAATATTCAGGCAATTGTTGAAAGGTACAAATTGCTGCTATCCTGCGGCCTTGAGTGAAGATCAAGATTTATCGTCTACGGCTGCCTAATTTATTCGTAGGTTTGTGGGGAAATTGTATTTTACTGGCACAGAAACTGTACAGAATAGCCGCAGACACTCTCTACATTATGGAAAAGTGGCGTGATATTTTTGGCTCCATTCCTTATTATTACTCCGAACGAGTGATCATAAAACTGGGACGTCCCGTTTCGGTCGTACCTATCTGCCAACACTAGTCGTAAAACCAGCCCAAGAGAAGCGACTATAAACATCGAACATGTTCGATCTATGCTTGGGAACCTATTAAGTATTATTATTATTGTGTATTATAAGAACTAATGCCGCCACCATGAAATTATATGGGAGGTATAATAGGTTTTGTTGTCTGGTTCTTTGCCATCTTCATAATCTGATTGCTTTTGTGGGTAGGTCAAATACATTTAGACTCCTTTTTCGAACCGAGTAGGCGTATAGGGATATGAAATCGTGATTTGGCGATGCCTATTATTATAGAATATAATTGAAGTAGGTAAAAAGAAAACATTGTCATAGGATTTTTTATGTTGTAAAGGAAGAGTAAGTAAGTTATATCATTCAATAAAGAACTCTATTTAATCGAACTCATAGGAATGTTATAAGAGTAGACAATACAAAAAGATTATATTAGTGAAAACATATTATTTTGATCACCGTAGGCTCTGGATATGCTTTTTAGTCAAGATGTAATATTGTATTTGAAAATGAAAAGGATCTTGTTTCTATCTACGATCTAATTCTGCTAGACCAGAATAAAAATTGACATTGTTTATTAAAATTGTGGGGAAATATATATTTTCAACATAACTCAGTCACTGCCTGAGGTACGGGAGCGTTGATTTTTTTTTTATTCACAACGAGGAAGCTCTTGGCCTGTATCTCACCTGATGGTTAGTGATGATCAGGCCGAAGGTTTATTAAACGAGGCAGAGTACAAATATGAAGTCTCACTGATGTTTGACTTCTCAAAATCATCCTCCACGTGCCGCTCTCATACCCAGGCACTGACTGAGCTAAGCTAACCTATAGGCCCAATATTCCTTTAATTTTTCTTTAGAGTCCATTCTTCCCTGAACAGACATACTAATTAAGAAGTCTAGTATTCCTTGTTGCAGACGGTGGTGGAAGCGTGCCAGAAGAAGCGGCAATGCAAGTTTCACACGAGTCCCAAGGCTTTCGGGGTCGACCCCTGCCCCGGGTCGAGGAGGTTCGTGGAAGTCGCCTACAAATGCCGTCCTTGTAAGTATACCTAATACTCGTAATGTATTTTAAATTTAAGGATCAACACCGTATCGCCTTTTGCCGCGAGGCGTTTATGTTGCGGTACCGATAAGTTTGCGTTGCACTACGGAGTTTTTAACTACAAAAAATACTGACCGCCTCGAGTTGATACGGTTACGATCCGTTTCCCGGTTGATATTGTAGTGGTTCGCTTCGTTCTTAAGGCAGTATTATGATACTGACATAATTTTACACTAATTCACTGTTTAATAATTCTGTAAATTCAAATTACACCGGTCAACAAAAAATAAATGCGCATGGATTTTACTTATTATATTCTGATTATATAAGCAAATTTATATAAAAAAGTGCGATTACAAATCGAAAATATTTGCTTTTTAAGATGTTATAGCGATTTGAATTTTCCATCTTCATAGTAGAATGTCTCTAAAGATGCACGTCCCATTCTCATTGGGATATATTTATAAATAATTATGGGGGCTTATTCGCAAGAACAAGGGGCACGCTTTCATCAAAATATAGTGAGATTTGAGAGACGACGTTACCAAGGCCAGTATACTGAAAGCATGATAGGGTTAGATTTTTATGCGAAAAATCTTCTATGGAACGTGACAGGAAATTAGAACTTTTCATTTTTAATAAATATTTGGATTCTATTTTAAATTTTCTCTTGTGAGAATGAATCTTAAATAGATGTTTGGTATGTTTTAATAGTTAGAAAGAATGAAAGAAAGAAAGAAAAAAATATATTTGGCAACAAATTGAATCATCTCTATGTTCATGTTTCATACATTCATTGATATGAATTTTTCTATTTTTTACACATAAAAGCAAATTCAGAACAATTTTTTGTTGTTATTCTTAATTCTAGGTCATAAAGCAATAAAAATAAGCTATGCATAACCCGTGCGCAAAAATGCTGTAGACAGTTGTTATATACAATGTAATGATTCATGAGTTAATCATTCACATATTATGTACATGATGTCTAAATCTGTATGTACACGTTTATACAATGTACCACGCCTCTTTGCAATTATGACTTCATTCATACGCATTATGCATTTTTTTTGCAAAGATAGCACAACAAAGTTGAGGAGTTATGTCGCTACAGAATGCTTGAAAACTTTGCACATTAGTTACTCTAGTTCTAGTTAGTTAGTTTCACTTTTGTGCATCTTCACAAGGATCTTGGCAAATGTCTTGACTGGCATATAATACAGTACAAATAAAAAAATATTTCGCTATTTAAAATTTAGAATACATTCTGTATCTATTAGAAAACAAAAGACAAACGTCGATCGAATGAATTAAAAGCGCACGAAAAACAAATGAATGTCGATGTCCGATGAAAATTAAAACCTACGTTATAGATGCATAGTTAAAAGAGACTCGATTTGTTATCTCTAACACTAAATAAACAATCCACACAAACCCTCGAAAATATAAGCACTTGAGCATCGCCGTGACTGCATAAAGCGTTAAATTTATTTATCCGAGCATTCTAAAATATGTGCAAACGCCAAGCCAAACTGCGTGTCACAAACAAAACCTCATAAATATCCATACTGGTGAATGCACCAAAATATCTATATGGATTTCCAAATAAGTCCAACGCGACCAGTGGCTACAAAGTAAAATATTTTTTTGATAAAACCTTTTGTTTCAACTATCTATTACTACGTACTTATTTTTATGGCTGGTAAAAATTAAAACATGTGACATAAAAAACTAAAGTAGTTACTTGCTATTGTCAATTATTTCTGCCAACCAATTATTGATCTATGTATTAAATTAGAGAAAAAGCAAGTGCGGCCTCACACAGCCGCCTCCTTAGCCGCGCGTCACTGGCCACCAAGAAAACTGCGTTCTTTTCTCGATGACCTATATCGATGTTCTTTTGTTTTTTCTCTCGCTGTTGATTCTAGATTTCCCACTTTAATTTTCACGACTCGAATTTGTAAATAATTAAATTATTTACGTTTTACCCGTACATCGAGTATTAATCATATCTACGACACCACGAAGCACACAGACACAAGATTTAATAATCCATGTCGGACAATAATGTAGGTATCCTAGTTAAGTAAAAAAAATCCATCTCACATTTTTACTATCTCAAGTACTTAATTTAATTTTGATTTATATTCAACCTAACCACTGATAACTGTGTAGTTTAGAGGTTAATCAGCTTTGTATTTACAAGTTTTTTCTCCCATAGATGAATTCCGGAGTAAAGTCGGCTGTGAGAACGACGTCCTTCATCTCAGTTGTAACCCACACTCAAGAGTCGCCATCTACTCGGCGCAGTATGGGCGGACGGAGTATGACTCCATACAGTGCCCGCAGCCCAGAGGGATGATGGAAGAAAGTGAGTATTCATTTGAGATCTGAGTGCTTAGTGTGAGTTTAGATCAAACGTCGTCACTAGCGAGCGCGTTAAAAAATATATGAAAATTTTAATTCTTATAAGTTTTCGCAAGGGGTGCTGTACAATCCGTCATTAATTTATTGTCACTTTTTACGCAGATGAACGTAAACGCACACTACGAACCATGTTTCTTATAACAATTTATTGTTTGATTGAGTGCAAAATCGACGCGAGAGCATTGTCACTCAACGTCATAATTATCTCTCGATTGACGCCATGTCGGTCATTTTAACTTAGCAGTTTTGGGAACGACTATTTGGCTAGTGAATTGCTGACTGCAGAACGCTTGGGATTGTCAACCGTTGAACTTTATAGTGTGTACAATAAGGAAAGATTTATAAATATTCCATAGATCTGACCACGTTGCACTAACAAACATACAGCAAAAATAAAAACAATTATCAGTAATATAAGTAAGGTGCGGTTTTTTTGCGTGAAGTGTAGATAAAACATGGCGTCTATTACAAAAGAAAGTATGGATCATAATAATATAATTTAACATTCCTAAACATATTATCAACGTTAAGTACTCAGTAGGTGGTCTCTCCCAGACAGATCTGTAATAGATAACTGCTACGAGTATTATTTACTTAGACATAATACGAGTATGTATTACAATTATTCTTATTACTTTAATTATGATATTATTTCGAAGTAGTTATAATATTGAAATGGTCATAATTATGCACTATTATGACTATAAATATTACTAAATAAAAAAAAACATCAGGATTAAGCTGTAACTGACAAAAAATTTTGTTCGGCAGTTCTAAAGCCTAGCATACCAATGTGACAGCAGTGTTATTGAAAAAGCCAAAGGTTCTATTCAAATCGACAGCCGTCTAACAAATAAAGTCGAATAATATTATTAACACTGAATTTTTTTTCTCTACTTTTTAGGGTTCCGTAGCCAAATGGCAAAAAACGGAACCCTTATAGATTGGTCATGTCTGTCTGTCCGTCCGTACCGCATTAAGATTTTGAAGCAAAAATAAAAAAATAATAATAAATATTGGGGGCTCCCCATACTTAAAACTGAAACTCAAAAAATTTTTTTTCGTCAAACACATACGTGTGGGGTATCTATGGATAGGTCTTCAAATATGATAGGACGACAACAGACAGGTCTTTAACAGGTTTTAATATTGTTCATCAAAATTTACAAGGCCTGGCTGGCAAAGAATTAGAATTAGAATTGTTTTTAAATTAATAAAAAAAATAAAACCGACTCCAAAAAACCTACACTAAAACGTAGAAAAATAATTACTAATTACCTACTTATTTATTAGGACGAATTATTAATATTTATGTAGGTATACCATGATTGATACTTCTGGAGTCGGTGCCAAGATTATGAAACATGTAAAGTTTGCCTGCACCGACTCCAAAAGTATCAATCATGGTATACCTACATAAATATTAATAATTCGTCCTAATAAATAATAAGTAGGTAATTAGTAATTATTTTTCTACGTTTTAGTGTAGGTTTTTTGGAGTCGGTTTTATTTTTTTTATATAATTATAAGTGTGTACAAGCCCCCATCTGCAAATTACCAATTATTCGAATCCACTATGGAGGAAGTCTTAAAAAAGGTATTTAAATCAAATAAGAAAGTGGTTGTATGTGGAGATTTTAATATAGATTTATTAGATAATACTCAATATAAAATAAGATTCTTAAACCTGTTTAAATCTTTTAACTTATTAAACCTCTTCAATGAGCCTACTAGAATCACTCCAACATCAGCTACTTGCTTAGATAATATTTTTTGTAACTGTAATATTCAAAGTAAATCAATAATTAATTGCCTTAGTTCAGATCATAGTGGACAATTGGCCACATTTGAACACCATCATGTCCCTAGTACAGTGGATGTTGTTTGTAGGCCAATAACAACTAATCGAATTGACAAATTCAAGAAAAACATTTGTGATAGTATTGATAAACTTATAATAAATGACAATAATGTTGATCGAATGTATGAGGATCTATTCAGTGTAGTGAGTGATGAGTTCAAAACCACATTCCCACAGAAAAAGATCCGAATAAATTCGATAAAATGTAAATTTGACGACTGGGCTACAACCGGCATTCACAAGAGTAGAAGGGTATTTCTTCGGAGGCAAAATTTTCGATGNCGTATCTGCCTCGCCCTGGCTGTCTTCTATATTGCGCGCATGACGTAGTAGGTCTTGAAAAGTGGCAAATTCTTCACGGCGTAGTCTCTGCCGGATTTTAGTGTGTAGGAGGCCGTACACCATGTCTAGCCTGGCCTTCTCCGAGACGTCTCTATCCGATATTTTCGATAGAAGGG